GGCGTGTGAGGATTGTGTCGCTATGGGATGGTATGGCACAATAAAGAACCCAAGATTTCTTGTAGAGTTGAATTTTGTGTTTCTTCTAAGAAAATTTGGGACTCTCTTGCAGAGTTATATTCACACCGGAGTACTGTTTCTCGGGTTTATGTGTTGTATGAGAATATTTTTGCTACTGACCAATCCAGAAAACCATCGTTGGAAGACTATAATATTGTGGGATCAGTTAATGCAAAATCAGTTGTTTACTACTCATTTAGAGCAACAGAAGCGGCACTGGTGGGAGGAGTTAATGATTCCTTCATTGCTATCTGATTTAAACATAGATCTTCATAGCTTTAAAGATTAGATTCTTGCTAGCGAGATGTTACATACAAAACTCTCACCCAACCTGAGATCATCTTTGGGGTAAAGCTCTGTTGTACCTCCTACAGAGTCTTCTGCATTAGTCTTTAGCAGTGAAGGTGATGTAGGACAAGGGTAGCCTCAAATAGTTGAAATAAAAAGGCGTTTATTGGCTGAAAATTCTAATAAACAGCATTGGGGTTCAGGAAGTGTTAGTAGAGAGAAAGGACTGAAAATGACAAAAAAATCCTATTGGCATCACACCAACAGAAAACAAAAACCTACTGGAATCACTCCCACAGGGCCTAGGTATCACACCTAGAGAAGGCCTCACACCCTCATATCTTGTGAATCACTCACAAAGAAATCTCAAAAGACTTTTTTTATTCATTCATACACTGCCTCACCAAGTTTACATCATACCCTTCTTATAGCAACTTATGACCCTTGGATTACCCTGTAAACGAGGTAATCAAAAGTTGACCCTAGCATAATAAAAGAAATCACCTCATAATTGAGGTAATCAATATTTGACTCTAGGATTACCCCATAATTGAGGTAATCAATATTTGAACATAATAAAAGTAATTGATACTAATCGACGCTAGTTACCATAATTATTCAGTTTTGACCTAATCCCCCCAATTATAAAAGACTGCAAGTGGACCCCACTTCACCAAACATGTGCCAAATCAAGGCTTGAGCTCTAGAATCCTTTCCCACACCTTTTATACATTTTAAAACACTGCTGCCACTGTCCTTTACTTGCTGCCACTGTTCTTTACCAGACGGTCATGGTAGGTCTCGTGGTAGCCGTGCTGGTCGCTGTTTTCGTGGTGGTTCCCATGGTGGTGGCCATTCTAACGGACGTGGTGATAGGACGTGTGATCATTGTGGTGGTACAAATCACACAGAGCCTTATTGTTAGGTGAAATATGGCAAACCAGAGAATGCACATTAGGTTACAGATGGTACTACACATCCACTGCAGTCTCGAACTACTTCAGGACAAGTACCTTCTGGTTTGGGTTCTGTGATAGACTCACTACTTAGCTTAGCGAGCTCCTTCAGACATTAAAAACTACTCTTCCATCCACTTCAACTGCTATCTTAGCCAATTCAGGTATATTGCATGTGTGGCTCAATCTGCTCAATTTTGGGTTATTGACTCCGGAGCTAGCTCGCATATGTCTGGTACATAACCTCTCTTTTTTGCTTTAACACCTAAAAAAAATCACATTGTTCTAGCTGATGGTTCCTCTAGGCCTGTCCTTGCAAAAGGTGTTCACCCTACCAATTCATTGTCCTTATCATCCACTCTCTATGTCTATAATTTTCCTTTAAATTTGCTTTTTGTAAATCAATTGAGTAAAGCATTACATTGTTCCATAACCTTTTCTCTTACTTCATATGTTTCTCAGGACCTCGTGACGAAGAAGATGATTGGTTCGGGGCATGAGATAGACAGGCTATATTAACTGAATCTTGATGAACCTCCTCTTGTCTCCCCTTCAGTGCCATTTTCATTTGGCTCACCTGTCATTGGCAAAGTTGTGATTAGCTATTCCTCGGTTGAGTCCTGTGTCTGTTTTAGAATGTGAAGCTTGTCAGCTGGGCAAGCATCATCATGGTTCCTTTCCTAGTTGTAGTCATGGTCGTTAGTCCGAGTCTTTTGATGTAGTCCATACAGGCCTTTGGGGTCCTTCTCGAACTACCAGCTTGAATGGATTTCTTTATTTTCTTATATTTGTTGATGATTATAATTGAATGACATAGTTACTTTTTATGAAAGAGATAAGTAACTTACCTCGTAAGCACATTAAAATAAACCATCTTCCTCCTTATCTGTGACAGGTTTTAGTGATGCTGACTGGGCTGGCAGTCGCTCTGATAGGAGCTCTACATCTTGTTATTGCACATTTGTAGGCGGTAATCTTGTTAATTTGGCGCAGTAAAAAGTAAACTATCGTGCTATGGCTCACACCCCTTCGGAGATGTTGTGGATTCGCTCTCTTCTTCACGAGATGGGTATTGATGGTCCTGCTCCAATGCCTATGCATTGTGACAATCACACCACTATCTTTATTGCTAGCAATCCTTTTCTTCACAAGCGCACCAAGCATATAGAGGTTGATTGTCATTTTATCTGTGATTTGCTTATGCGGAAATAGATTGTTACTCCCTATACTTGCTCTGACGATTAGCTGGGTGATATTTTTACAAAGCCATTAGCTCATGGTGCATTTCAACGGTTGTGTTTCAAACTGAGCATGTTTAATTTGTATGTTCCAGCTTAAGGGGGAGTGTTAGATGATATTATTATACTATTGTTTAGTTGTGAAGGGTATTATTGTATTTTTCTTATCTTAATATATAAGAGAGAGGTACTGTAGAAATCCCTACATTCCAATCAGACTCTTTCACGACTTTCTTCCATCTCTCTTATTCTCTTCTTCTCATCTAACCCCTCCGAAGGCTTAATCACCAAAAATTCTTGTGTTTGATGATGAAGGTCTTAATCCACGGGACCCAAATGGACCGATCATGACATATGGGACTACAGAGCTTCCAAATGTGCTTCATTAGAATGGCTTGGTTCCAAGAAGACAAATGTCCTCCCAACAGACTTTGGCCCTACCAGATTGAAGACTACTGGCACCCTTCCAGAAAATTTTTCTTAGAATTTGGTTGATTTGTCTTAATATATAAGAGAGAGGTACTGTAGAAATCCCTACATACCCTAGAGATTCTTTAACGACTTTCTTCCATCTCTCTTATTCTCTTCTTCTCACCTAACCCCAAAACCAGTTACACAAACTTCAACTGTTTCATATGAAAAATGCATTTAAAAAAACTTAGTTACTTCAAACTGTAGAATGGTCAGCTTTTCATTTAAGATCTCACTTTTATATATATATATATCGCTTTAGTAGGTTTATGAAAGGTCTAACTTTTTTAGCCTTATTGGCAACCAGGTACTTTGAGTCTCCAATCTATAGTCCTCCAGACAAAGTGATGTATGGCTTTGTCTTGGAAATGGTATGAAGAAATTTTCTGAAGTTCATTATATGTGATATGTGAGGTGTCTTTCCTCAAATGTGACGAGAGAGTGCCCAAGAACTCCATAGTAATTGCCAACACTTCTCACATTCTTTCCACTCTTTCTTCTTTCTGAACCTTAAACTGCTCTACTTTAAAGCTGTTTTCCATTGTTTTATTGCTGAATTAAAGATCTTATACCAGTCTCCTAAAGAAAATTTAGGCCCACACAAAGCTCAGACCCTCAAACCCACAAACAATGGCCAATCCACATGGTTTAAAATGGACCAGCTGAATAAACATGTAATGAGGCCATAAAACTCTCTCACCCAACCTGAAAATGATAATACACGTACAAACAAAATACTGCCTACCTAACACCACCCACCCACCCACACAAACCACCACCACTTTTTCTCTTTCCATACCTTTTTTCCTTAACTTTTCAACTAAACGAACTCTAACTTCCTTCATGTTCTTTTTCTCCTTTTATTCCTTAATCAAATAAAAGGTTATGGCACTCCCTCTTATCACATCAAAGAGACGGATGGATACGTGACAACAGCAACCTCTTTGTATTCTACCTCCATCTTCTTGCTTTTCTAGTTCTCCAAATCTTACACTCAACAATAGTTACAAAAACAGCAGTAATTTTCCAACTTTCCTCAAATCTTAGGCTCAACTATAGAGTAATGAATACAGCAGTAAAAGGATTCTCTTAGATTATACTTGTAAAATTAAAATAAAGGAAATGACAAGTTCTCTAAGCAAAAGAAGTGAAATATTATTGAACAATTGCAGTGTATAACTGAATGTATTCACTAACAAATATTTCAACTTGAAGATGAAGCAAATCCAATGCGTAAAGCAAAGCACAACACAAAAAAACTGTCAAGGACAAAGCACCATACTTAACTAAATGAACACTTCGACCATCATTTGACTCAAAGTGATAACCAGGACCAAAGTAACTGAACTCCATAAATGGCAGTTTACAATTACTGTCCAATATAATCAGAAACACCAAAATGGCAAAATGTGCATGAATCATACTTGACTGAATGAACATTGTGACCGCTGTTTGACACCAACAGATACCAACCAGGATGATAGGATTCAAAATCCATATTGACAATATCAATGATTCATTCTCTTGCCAAGGTGCAATGCCAATATGTATCAGCCTATCAGGTGATATCTATCATTCTTATCTGATACTTTAAGCCATGAAAATATGTTGTTATTTTAAGAGAAGAGGCATGAGATGCTTTGCGGTGTTTGTAAACATACACAATCATATATAATGTGCATAAGCAGTGCCTCCACTCAGATAAGAGCTATGATCACTCCATAATACTCTTTTACTATCCAAAGAAGGGAAGATAGATGTCTCAATTTCATCCCAGAAGCATGCCAAATCCACATCAGAGCACACCTTGTTTCTCAATAATGGTGGGTTTAAAGATACTTGAATTGGACGGCATGCAGTAGAAGCAGATTAATTAGTCCAATAACTTCTTTAGAAATCAATTCCGGTAGCTTTACACCCTAAAGAGTATAATAGTTCTAAAATTGGGTACCCAAACTTTATTCAAAATGGACATAATAGAGCTTACTGTTGAAGTCTCTTCCGAAGCATATAACGCAAATACGCATCTGTACCATATGGGCTGATACCCATATATTTGCACATATTTACAAGCCGAGGCCTGCATTGAACAAGCAAATCAAGTTTTTTCATCATCAAGCATAGTGTCACCAATAAGAAATATTAATTTTATTAAAATGGCAAGGATATTCAGATTTCAGATAATAAAGTCCAGCACCAACACCAACCTGCTTATGTTATCCAGAGTAAGCTCATCATTGAACAACTTGGCAAAGCCTAAAATTTCGTCATTCGAAACGCCAGCACCTGTTCTAACCTGTTAATTCATTAGAAAAATATAAAACAAGATAAACGGTAATGCCCACAAACAAAAGAAAAGGATAACAAGTGAAACATCGACTAACTTTACGTCCCTTGTTGGGGGTACCTAAACCACGCAAGAGAGGAAAAATGATAACGACGACAATGATAACAAACCTTGTTCATAAATTCATCAAGATCTTCCGCTGTTCTTTTAGTTTCTCCACTTCTTGAGTCTTGGACTTCTTTGGCCATTTCTTTTACTGTGTCCTGTAGAAACTTCGCATATTCTATTCTTGCATTTAGCTTCCTTTTCAGTGCCTCCTACAAGTTGAGCATTTGATTTGAGACAATAATTCTGATTAAGAAATGGGACTGCATAGCAAAGGAGGAGCATTTATGAACCAGAATCTGCTTGTACGTTCATTTGATTGACCCTTAAGTAATGATGATCAAGCTATTTTAGCCACATTTTCATGTCAACAGATTACACCTACTGATACAATAGTTAACCAACACAAAATGCAATGAAGTGGCATAGTAGGTTTTTGGGATCATTGCATCTGTATCCTAGTCAAAATTATGCCAAAAGTGCAGAGGTCACTGCTAGATTAGTTTCATACAGATTTAGCATGGTTTGATTGAAAAGCCCTTGTAAGAACTGCTTGTTTGTTCCGAAATTTTAGATACCACAACAAATCATGTTATCTTTTAAGCAAAACACGGAAACTGTGGGAATTAGCATTGTGCAATATATTTCACATGAGAGAGAATAAATTGGAACTTTGTTGTTTGTGCATTATATTCTTTCTAAAAAATTTACATCTAATAAAAGTTTGGGAGTTTGATGATGTCCAAACAAATTTCAAGTCCGAAAAATAAGGAACTGAAAAGGTAGAGATATAAACTCAATCTTGTTAATTTGTGAAATAAATAAGTACAATCCTCTGTAAATAGTCTTTACAGAAAGGATGTCTCCTCTAATTCAATCTCCTTCATTGGCTCAGATTCAAGAGCTGTTTGAGAGTCATCTTCAACTATTTAGGAAGAACGAAAAAGAACTTCTGATTGAGGACAGATGAAGTTTGATCTCGAACAATTTTGTTTGACAATTCTTTGAACTTGTTGAATTGCTAAGGAAGAACGTCATGATTTGATGTGCTTATTGTTCTTCACATTTGGAGTTTAAGAATATTAAGAGTAAGGGGCCTACTAGAGCTTCAGTATTCACTCTGTGTTCTGCTGTCGTTTCTTCACCCCATGAGCCTCAGTGGAGAAACCCAGTGATTTCCTCTGAGGCTTTAACATGTGTCACTTGTTATTATCCAAATTGTGTGGAACACTAGTGATAATAGTTATCCATGGTGATGTGTAATTGTATATCACTTGGGCCCAAATTTTATGGTGGGTCAAGTTGCTCTAGGTGGGACCCAAGTCGAGATCTGAATTGTTGATTGACCAATCAAAGAATAGTTTTGACATTTTAACTGATGGAATGGTGATAAAAATACTATAAAATTTGATGTCTACAGATGGCTTTCACAAAAACTAAAATTTGAGGAAATCGGACTAGAGATGAGCCAAGGTTTTATTTTGGACTCCTATTTGAGCTACAAATTGCTCAAACGTCTTAACTCATGGTTGCTTTTGAGATTCAAGATGGAATAACATCAACTACTTTCTCATTCATCAACTTAATGCACAAACATCGTTTCATGAAGAAATAAATGGTTTTGAGAAATTAGATTTCCAAACAAGTAAAAGGACCTTATCCAAAATTCATTTTTGACCAATTCCTTTTCTATCTTATATAATATACTACAGTCCATTACCTTTTCATTAAGGTAATTTAAAATAGAAAGAAAGTACGCAAGGGTTGTACCCAATTGGTACTTCCTCACCTTCGAAAGTAGAAGGTTAACCCTTTGGAGCAAAGTGAGTCTATGAGTTTCAAATATGAAAAACAGAAGAAAAAAAAGAAAAGAAAAAGAAGGTAAGTCAAGTGAAAAGATGCAACAGTAAAATACAAGAATTTTTAACAAGATGACCTATTATTTCTTGCTCTGATTAGTCACTGTCTCACGGTGCATAACTTTAGTACCACTAATGGTACATGACAATTAGGGATGGCGATTTTCTCCGATCCGGCGGGTTTCTGCCCCACCTCGATTATATATTGATATTACTATATACCCTTTATTTTATTTTTAAAAACTACATTACCCTAGTATATTATTAAGGACTAGAGTTCCAGTCACTTCATCTCATTCTAAACCTTAAGTCGCGTCACCACCCATCAACCCCCAACAAGTTATTGTTAGCATATATGATAGCCACGATTTATCGAATGACTTATCATATTAGCAGATATTTGATTATGCCACGGAATATGCTTTAGAATATGTTGTGATTTGATTTAGATTTGATTTTGTTTCCTTTCTTGTAATATGAGCATGTGCTCTGTTTATCTATAAATACTAGAGTTGTGAATGAGTGATTCATCTCATTCAAGCCTTTACACAATTCTCTCCTTTTTCTTCTATATTGTATTTCTACTTGGTATTAGAGCCAGCACCTTTTCACACTTTTCAGCAGCCTTGCTACTTGTGCGACAGCCACCTTAGGCTGTTTGTGACATCATGTGACGTTGCCTACACATATTTTTCTGTATTGCTGTTGTGTGATCGAAAACAGGTATTTTTTAGTTTTACAATTTCTGTTTTTCTCTTCTAGGGTTGGGTAAATTGAGATAGTTGGTCTCCAACACCTAGAAGGGCTTGGGTAAAAAAAAAATTAGTCTATAGAGAGGTTCCGGATATTAAGAAGGAGGTTGTCTGCCTATATGTTAGCGGGCAGCGCTCTTTAAAAAAAATATGTATTTGGATTTTTCAGGAATGGTCTGAAGAGACATTGTTATTGTTTATGGTCTGAGGAGACCCTTTGATTTTTTAACAAAATTTTTAGTGTTTTTGGAGTTTTTTATTGTCGTGCGACAAATTATGGCAGATTCAGGGTCCTCGACTGTTAATTCTCTTGGCTCAAGTTCTGTGGTTGGTGGTGCCATTTTTCCCACCAACTCATCAGAAAATCCAGGACTTCAAATCATCACAATGAAGTTGGATGGCTCCAATTATTTGATTTGGGCACAGTCTGCCAAGATATTCATTGGTGGCAAAGGCAAAATTGGCTATATTACTGATTCTGAGAAAGAGCCAGTTGAGTTAAAGAAGGCATATCTACAGTGGTTTGCAAATAACATTGTGGTTATGTCTTGGCTAGTCAATTCGATGCAACCAAACATAGTCGTTGGCTATAAGTTTATAAAGACTGCTAAGGAGATTTGGGATTCAGTTCAATGCACTTATTCTCAAAGGCAGAATAATGCACGGATTTTCCAATTGGGGTGAGATATCACCAAGATTTCAAGGTGACTTGACAATTTCAGGTTACATCGCCAAGCTTCGTGCTATTTGGGAGGAGACGTCATATTATGATTCCTTCCACTTTTGGAAGGATCCAGATGATACAATTTTATATGCAGGGATTGTAGAGAAAAATCGAGTGTTTCGGTTTCTTGCCGACTTGAACAACGAGTTTGAGTATACTCGTGTTCATTTATTGGGCTTATCTTCATTCCCACTCTTGAGGATGTATACTCCTATGTGTTGTTAGATAAGAGCTGTCGGACTCATGCATTAGGTGTTGCTTCTGTTGATTGCTATAGCAGTTCGAGTTCCCAACCTTTCAGGAATTGCACCATCCCAATCAGTTCAGAGCTCTACCACCGGTCCTCCTCTAGGACGACAACGTGAACAGTGTGTGCATTGCAGAAAAATTGGTCACATCAAATCTCATTGTTATGCTCTACATGGACGCCCACCGCAACAGAAACAACAGCCTCAATCCTCTGCACATTCTGTTACACAACCAGTCTCGTTGTCAACTCCTGATAACTCTGCCTCTACATCTTCTGCGACTTAAGCTTATTTGGACAAGTTCAAATAATTCTTCAACCAAATGGAGGCATCATCTTAGCCAACCTCCGCTTATGCCCACTTAGGTACTATTGCATCTGCACATAACGTATCTACATCTTCAACACCATGGATCATTGATTCTGGTGCCTCAGACAAAATGACTGGTATGTCCTCATTCTTCCAATCTAGGTGCGCCTTGCGGATGGCTCTCCATCTTCCATTGCTGGGAAGGGTCACATATCAGTTACTCCTTCATTAACTTTGTTAGATACACTTCATGTTCCACAGTTGACTACAAATCTTATTTCTGTTAGTAGCGTTATTAAACAATTAAATTGTAGTGTAACATTCTTTCCCTCTCATTGTATTTTTCAGGATCTGGTGTCGAAACGGACGATTGGCAGTGGGCGTGAAGTGGACGGTCTATACCTGTTGGATGCTCCTTTGTCACCTCAAGCACATTCAGCTTCATTTTCTAATTCTGTTTCATCTAATAAAGCCCTGCTTATGCGTTGGCACATGCGTTTAGGACATATTTCTTTCAGTTATTTCAAACATTTATTTCCTTCCTTATTTTGTGACGTAGCAATGTCAGATTTATCCTGTGAGATATGTCACATGGCTAAACATGTTCGGTCCAATTATCCTGCTAGTAGTAATAAATCTGCTTCAACACCTTTTGATCTTGTTCATTCAGATGTGTGAGGTCCTTGCCCAGTTACTTTTAGTCTTGGATTTCGATATTTCGTGTTGTTCATTGATGATTATAGTCGTGTTAGATGGGTTTATCTTATGAAAACCAAAAATAAGGAGTACACCATTCTTAAAAAATTTATGACAATGGTTCGGACTCTATGTGGTCGTACCACTAAAAAATTCATATCTAACCAGAGTACAGAGTACACTTATGGGGAGGTACAGCGGCTATGTACAGAATTTTGGATTGAGCATCAGATGGCTAATGTTAAAACCCCTCAACAGAATGGCTGTTCTGAGAGAAAGAATCGCCACGTCCTTGACTTAGCCAGAGCAATCTGCATTAGCATGAATGTTCCCCAGTCATTTTGGGGAGACGCAGTTCTTATAGTTGTTAACATCATTAATAAGACTCCTTCTAGGGTTCTTAACTTTGCAGCCCCACTCTCAATCTTACATCCCAATTCATCTCTTTTTTTTATTCCTTCGCAAGTCTTCGGGTGTGTGTGTTTTGTTCAGCATTTGGGGCAGACTCGTACAAAGCTTGACCCCAAGGCTTTGAAGTGTGTGTTTTTGGGCTATTCTCACTCTCAAAAAGGTTATAGGTGTTACCATCCTCCCAATTGTTGGCAGTTTATATCCATGGATGTT